CTGCCGTATCTAGAACTGTTCCACTACTATTTGTCATCTAGCCTGGATATCAGAAAAAATTTGAATTTAAAACGAGGATTCCACTGCCAAAAAAGAAAAATATGTAAACCACCACTGAGGGGAAACCCTTTTATTGCCAGTTCTGGGGCTTGGGGGGGTCAAAGGTAGTAGTGAATAGTGAATAGGTGGCAGTAGCTGTTGCTTCCAGTTGAGAGTAGGGAGAAGAGGTCTCAAATGGGACTGCAAATATTTTCACTCCAGGTGTGAATCTAGAGAAGTCAGGAAGCACCTGCCTCTCCCAGCTGCTCTGGGAGGCTCTGTTTGGCTCAAGGAATCCAGAGCAGCAGCTAGGGGCTGCCTCAGAAATGAGCAGGCTGTTTTCTGAAAATAGGACATTTGTTGTCTTTAAGGCTGTATACCCCAGCTCCCCACTTTGAAAGGGAGCAAGATTACAGAGATGTTCAGAGCTGAATAAAGGTTCAGAGATATACTGTCAAGTGGTCCTAAACTCCGTATTTGGGGGTCTAAGCCTTTTGTCTTAGGATCTCAAAGCACCTCACCTGGCATTAAGTGTGATTACTTCAGCTGTGCAGAGTGAAAATAGAGACAAGAATGGACAGAGCTTGAGGGATGAAATAGTGAGGGAATGGAGAGTCATGAATAAATCTTGGGCTACAGGACACCTTGAAATGTTGTTGGAAATTTGATAGGATTCCTTCCCTTTTCTTCCCTACCTCCTTGTAGAGCTTGAAACTAAGACAAGGGAGATTATGTTTTTGGATCTGAATTTTATTTCTTATTCCTCAAAATATGGCCAATGAAATAATCCTAAAGTGGGTGTTAGATAATTACTAGGAAAACTGAAAAGCAAACATTGCACTCTTTGAATAGTTTCTGATACAAAATATTAAAAAATAAACATGCTTCATTGTTTATGTACCAGTTCTAACCCCACCAATTTATTGATAAAGCATCGATAAGAGATCCAGCAGATGTTGCTGTGAGGATAAGCAACAAAGAAATGAAAGCTCAAAGTCCAAGAAAAGGGGGATGGTGGTGACAAGTTTATGTGCAGTTTATATGGACTATTTTATTTCACCCTCACAATATCCTTTAGAGGGTAGATTTCATCATCTCCATTTTATAGGTAAAGAATCTGAGGCTCACAGAGGTTATAACTTATTTATGGTCACGTGGTAAAGAAGAGAAAGGGTCAGAATTTGAATTCCAGTTTAGCTGACTCTGAGGTCCATATATATTTTTTTTATCACATCATGGATGAGTTTTGATTTGAGGGTAAAGATCAATGCTATTAGAATTTTAAATGTGATTAGGACAACAAAAAATGATACATATTCTTTTGGAATAAACTTAAAAAAGATATGTGCAAATGCTATATGAAGAAAAACATGAAACACTTTTGAGGGACAAAAAGGTAGACTTGAACAAGTAGAAACACATCCTTTGTTCTTGGATGAATATCTCAATATCATCAGGATAATATGTTGGTTCTCTTTAAGTTAACATATAAATCTGACGCAACTACAACAAAAATGCTAACATACTTTTTTTTCTGTAGCTAGACAAGCTAATACTGAAAGTTTATGTAAAAAATAAACATGAATACCCGTGTGTGTGTGTAGTGAGAAGAGAGAAGGAATCAGGCTTATTAGATATAAACACACTACAAAGTCTCTATAATTAAAATAGAATAGTACTGGAACATATATAGACCAGTGGAATAAAATAGAAAATCCAGAAGCAGACCAAGTACATACAGAAATTTAATATACATGATAAATGTGGCATCTAAAGTCACTGGGGAAAAGATAGCTATTTTAATGAGTAATATTAGGCAATTGGATAGCCACATAGTGAAAGATAAAATTAGATTCATACAGTATGTATTAATAAACTAAAGATGGTTCAAAGGGAGAGCAGAACTTCTGGCTATGGTAGCATCAAGAAATCAACATATCTTTTCCCCCTCAAAATAAGTATAAAACTGGAAAAAAGTTTAAGAAAAATAATTTCAGGAATCTAGAGATTGACCAAAGGCAGACAGAAATTGAGATGCATTTATTTGTGAAAAACCACAAGAGCTTTGGATGAAAACATGAGTCTGCAACCTGCATTCAAGGATTGCTATCATCTTTCTACCATCATCCCCACCTCCCCACATAGATCTGTTGGCAAGAATTGTGGTTTTGCCGTTGGAGAATTGGCCAGTAAGAACAAGCAGTTTTGCTGCTGGGGAGATTGAACTTAATAAGGAGCAGAGGGCAGGAAATCTGGGTGTTTTCAGTAAAAGTACAGAATTCAGTATAAAATGAACTGTGGAAACCTATAACTCTACTAACTTAGATATGTTGTGGTTGCAGAGATAGTCAACAAATGGTGGATCATCAGATATTTTGAAGGAAATTCTGGAAATGAGAGTCCACGTTCGCAGGGCTTCGTAAGCTCTCCACCTACCCTTGACTCACTGTGAAACTAGTTGTAGACTAGGCAGAGTCTCAGCAGAGTCCAGTGGAGAGTGAAGGTCAAGGTGGGCTTGTGAGCTGGCTGAATGTTGAACTTTTCCTAGCCCATAGATAGATAAATTGGAAGAGGGGTGGGTGGACACTTTCAGAGATCAGAATGTTTGAGAGCAACCTCTACTCAAATTGTTGGTTGCCCTCAATCTATATAAGCCATAGAAAGCCAGGTTAAAAAATGAGGAATAAAAAACTGATGAGAGATATTAGTGTTTGTTCACCATGGCAAAGAGGAATTTTGCAGTTCAACTCAAGGCATGTTAACTGCTTTCGCTAAAAACAAAAGAAAATCATAAAAATAAGAATTGAGAGTTTTATAAAATACTATCTACATTTTGTTTTAAATGAGGCATGCAAAGAAACAGGAAAGGATGATCCATACTCAAGAAAAGAAGAAGCCAATAGAAATGGATTCTGAGTGGGCCGAGAATGTTAGTTTAGCAAAGAGAATCTTAAAGAGCTATTATAAATACATTCAAAGAATTAAAGGAAAATATGATGACAGTGACTCAGTAAGTAAAAATTTCAAATAGAGAAAACTATAAAAAGAATCAAATGGAATTTTTGGGATTGCAAAATACAGTAATTTTTAAAAATCACCAGGTTTGCTCATGGGCAGAGAAGAAATAGCAGAAGAATGGATCAATGAAGTAAATCATTTAATGAAGTTATCTAAGCTGAAGAGAAATTAATGGAGCCTCAGATACCTCTGTGACAATATGAAATATACCAATTTATCTATAAAGAGAGTCCCACAATAAGAAAAGAGGAAAGAGTGGAACAAACATTTATGAAATAATAACTGAAAACTTCCCAAATTGGATTTTAGTGATGAATTTACAGATCCAAGAGGCCAAACTATTCCCAAGTAGAATAAACACAAAGTGAGTCATATCTCAACACAACATATTCAGTGATAAAATTCAAAGACAAAGACCATCTTGTAAGCAATAAGGGAAAAATTGCTCATCATATGCAAGGGAATAATAATCTAATTAATGTCTAACATAAAAATGAAGGTCATAAGGTATAATGACATAACACAAAAGTGCTAAGAGAAGAAATAAATATAAACCAAGAATAATCTATCCAGAAGTACTATCCTTTCAATATGAAGACAAAAATGAAGATTTTCCCAGATAAGCAAAAACAAGAGAATTTATTGCTAGCACACCTTTCCTGCAAGGAATTCAGAGGAAAGCTCTTAGGACTGAAAGACAATGATACTTGATGTTAATTGAATATATAGGAAGAAATGAAGAGTGCCAGAAATGGTAACTGTGTGTATAAAGTGTAAAGAAGAGTATAGAAAATTAAACTATATTGAAGCAAATTTGCTACATTTTCCTGGAGTTAAGATAGTATTAACTTGAACTAGATTAAATATAATACTACCGTTAAAGTGACCACAAAGAACATAACTGAAAAAAGTATAGCTGAAAAACAAATAGACCAACTAAAATGGTACACAAAAATTTTTTGTTTAATATAAAATCCACTAAAGGTGGAATAGAGAAATGAAGACAAAAGATGTAAAGATAAAAATAGCAGAGTGGTAGATATAAATACAAATGATCAATAATTGCATTAGATATAACTAGATGAAAAACTCCACTTAAAAGGCAGAGGATATCAGATTGAATTTAAAGAGTAAGATTCAACTCTATGACACTTACAAGAGAGCCACCTTAGATTCAAAAACACAAATAAGATGTAAAGAATGTATCATGCAAACTATAACCAAAGAGAACTGGAGTGGCTATGAATAATATGAAACAAATTAGGCTTGAAGACAAGAGGGAAATTTCATAATTATACAAGGGTGAATACATTAGGAATATATTACAATTATAAACACCTAACAACAGAGCTCCAAAATACCTAAAAGTGGCAGAATTGGAAGGAGTAATAGACAATTTTTTAAAAATTATTTATTTTAATTGGAGGATAATTACAATATTGTGGTTTTTGCCATACACCGACATGAATCAGTAATGAGTGCACATGTGTCCCCCCATCCTGAATCCCCCCTCCCACCTCCTTGTACTGGTTGTCTATTTTACATATGGTAACATTCATATTTCACTGCTCTTCTCTCATATCATTCCAGCCTTGCCTTCTTCCACATAGTCCAAAAGTCTGTTCTCGGTATCTGTGTCTCTTTTGCTGCCTTGCATGTAGGATTATCATTACCATCTTTCTAAATTCCATCTTTTTATTCACAGATTCAGCAAACATTTTGTGAGTATTTCTTCTTAAGGGGTTCTAAATCAAATGGGGAAAAGGAGTTATGAAGTAATAATTACAATATAATAAATGTGTTCTGAAGTTTTCTGAACGTAAGAGAGAATCTGACATATAAACAAATAAGTCTTCATCAAAGGGGATTAAACACCTACTATTTGTCTGCCCCCTTCATAGATTAACTCAGTGTATTCTCAGAATCTTTTGTTCACCTTACAGGTGTGCCTGGGATCCACAACCAGCAAGTGACTGAGTCATCACTTCATCCAATTCTTCTGACTTTAGATTCTTCTGCTTTCTCAAGTGTCGGATTCCTGCCACAGGTAACTGTCTCCTAGAGCTTAACTGTGCTCATATGTAAGATTGGTCAACAGTTTGATTTTAAAAGATTGTTCTGATTATAACTAATACCCTGGGGACCTTTAGAGGAAAACAAGCTAGTGTTTATCGGCCTCACATGACTCTTATAGCCTTAGAAGCTAGCTTCTGTTCTGAGGAAGCCTGGTTTCCCCATCTTGCACCTAGTTCTCAGCCCCACACAGCCAGGCTGCAGCAGCTGGCCCCAAAGGGAGGTGCAAACACAGGCTCCAACTTGCAGCTTACCCATGCTCTGGACATTGGCTTTGAATCAGCTCTGCCTGCAGGGCTTTGTTTAATTACTGCAAACCTGCTGACTTTTAAAAATTTTTTTTAAGTACTGGATACTTAAAGTTCAGTAAAGAATCTGGAAGAAGAAGTAAAACTTTTATCCATCACTGCCCATGTCAGTACAAAAGCAGTTGATAATTTCCAAGCCAGGATTGTGCTGGAGCGGGTCTTCAGTGAAGTCTGGAGCCCAGGGGTCCCAGGAGCCCTGAGGGACTGCAGAGCTACCTGTTGCTTTAGCAAGCATTCAGACGTTGAGGCGAAAGGCAGGGGCCTAGCAGTGGCAGGGTGAGAGACACAGTCAGCCTGAGGGGCCCTGCAAAAATGCTAACTTTTCAAAGTGTGACAGAGAGAGAGCACACAAACCTGGTACCTTGCCCTTTAAAACCATGTGCCTTTCTTACTGTGCCACCAAGTACCTCTGGAGGGAGGATGCCAGTGGGAAGGCACAATTGCCCATGCTGTTCCTGACAGTTTGCCTTTGGGGTTCATGTAACCCTTTTGAGGATATTCAACCCCCAACTTCACCTCTTGTAAAAGCTCCCAGTGAATGATGGGTGAGCATATCTCAGGTTGGAAGAGAGAAGCTCACACTGTTCCAGGAAGAGCAGAAGTGTATGTAGAGATCAGGATCATGAACTTGAAAATCAGAATAAGCACTTTCCCAGTTTCACCTGAGTCACTTATTATTGGCCCAAGCTTGGGCAAGGAACTTAAGTTTCTCTAAGCCCCAGTGATCTGTGCCTGCATGTGTATGCTTACTCGTATCTGACTCTTTGCGACCCCATGGGTGGTAGCCCATCAAGCTCCTCTGTCCATGGGATTTTCCAACAAGAATACTGCTGACGGGGCTAAAACTACCTATCTAGCAGTTTGTTGTAAAGAATTAATGAGATAACATTTAAAAGGCATAAAATACAGTGCAAGCGCTTGTTGAATCTTGGCTGTTATTTGAGTAAAGGACTCAGTCTTACTCTAAGAATAGACTCAAGGGATTCCTCTATCTTCAGTGGACCCCAGACTAAGCATCATGTGGTTCTTCTACATGAACCCGCACCTTCTTTCTCTTCTTGGGTTTGGATGTGTCTTAATGATCCTAAACTACTCAGATTAAGCATTTTTCTTTGCCTGGAATTTTCCCTGACCCCTACCAGGCAATAAACTCCAGGAGGGCATGGACTATATTTTTCTTTTTGCATTCTAGCATCACTTATAGTGTGTGATGTAGGAAGGTTCAATATGAGCAGAACTGAATTCAGGGTATGAGTTTGTCCCTTTCTAAGTCAGGGTCAGGTGCCTGCTGGAGGAGGTAGAGTCAATTGCATCATCTGTGCCTTTAACAGAATAGGATCCAAAGGAAAGCAAATACTTATTCTGTCAAGCTTTGTCTGAGCTGAGAATACCTTTGGGTGCTTTAGGTAGATGTAAGCCATTAAAGGGAGAAGAAAAAATTAAACGAGAGAAAAATAAGAGGAGAAACAGAAATAAGAAATGTAGATTTGTAATGGGCCCATTATAGATCTTTGCTGATTGAACCAAAAAATCATCGCTTGATTGAATATGAAAATAGAAGAAGAGAAAGTAAAGAAGAGTATTAGGGAAAGGACAATCAAGCAGTGCCTCTTAGGCTCATGTCTACCTCTGTGAAAAGACTTGGCTCTGTGCCATGCAGTAAACAAGCCCCAGCGAGGCTTCAACAATGGGAGGAGGAGAGTATGGGGGCTGCAGGGCTCCAGCTCTGGAGTCAGATTTTCTGATTATGGGCTCCCAGTTCCAGCAAATGGCCACTCAGCTAGTTATTTTAAAAGCCAGTTTTCTGAGTCATACAGTGTGGATAATAATAATTTCTTTTTGTTGTAAGGATTAAATGAGATGATGAGTGTAAAAGAAGTTGTCAAACTTCTTGGTACATAATAAGTGCTCAGTAAATTATATCAATTATGTAAATGTTGATTTTTCTTTTTTTTCTGAATGTCCCAGGCCTGACTCAGAGAGTTGGGGGAAAGAGGGATGAAGGGGAATCTTTGGATATAGGGTAATATGGCCTAGAACAGATCTTCTCCTGTCCCAGGTTATGTTCATTGAGTTACCCAAAGCATTTTTTACTATGGATCTAAGGAAATTAGTCATATGGAGAGACAGAAATAAAAATGGCAGTGGAAAGAATGGTCCTGAAGTCAGAACACCTGTGTTTTCATCTAAATCCCACGACCGCTCAGTTTTGTGATCTTGGCAAGTTCATAAGCTGTCTGGGTCTCAGCCCACTCATCTGCAAAGAAAAGAATTGGTCTGTAAGGCCTTTTTTTCTAAAGCAGTCATTGACTCTCATATTCAGCCAAACTGAGCTGAAGCATTTTTTCCCTTCTTTTCTACATTTGCTTGTTACCCTATCCACTTGGCTGGGGGCTACAAATTGATTAATAGACAAAGCAACCTCACCAGACAGGCTGTTTGTAAAGGGAACTGATGACTGAATAAGTACAAGTTATATCTAACACTATATGTTTAAGTACTTAAGTCTAAGAACCCAAAGATTTCTGGGGCAGAGGTAGCTGAGAGGTGGGAGTGGGCATGAGAAATACAGAGCTTCCTTAGAATGCGGAGCTTGATCAGGCAGGGGTGTGTACTGGCTCCCTTCTAAAATATAAGCAGTGAGTGAATAGGACAGGGGTTTCCATCTCAGGGAAGAGAGAACCAAGAGCAAACCACAATATTGATTATACATACCAAAGGGTTGTCTGATGGAGGACAGGAGTGAGCTATCTGATGGAGGAGGACGTAGCCTCCCGTGGCACTCCAGGGGAGAATGACGGCCAACAGGGCAGATTGCAGACTTCAGGGTAATGTAAGAAAACCCATCCATTTCATTAAAAGCAGGATTTGGAAAACTTGTCAGTAAAGGGACAGACAGTATTAATAGATATTCTAGGCTTTATGGGCCATACAGTCTTTGTCATAGTTACTCAACTTTGCAACTGTAGTGTTAAAGCAGCCATAGACAATACATAGTAAGTATGACTGTATGACAATAAACTACTATTTACAAAAGCAGGTGGCAGGTCAGATTGGGTCCATGGGCCACAGTTTGCTGACCCTGTCATTAGAGGAACCGTTCCCCTACCACCTCTTGGGCTTCCCTGGTGGCTCAGAGGGTAAAGTGTCTGCCTGCAATGCGGGAGACCCGGGTTTGATCCCTGGGTTGGGAAGATCCCCTGGAGAAGGACATGGCAACCCCACTCCAGTATTCTCCATGGGAGAATCCCATGAATGGAGGAGCCTGGTGGGCTATATATATAGTCCATGGGGTCGCAGAGAGTCGGACGTGACTGAACGACTTCTCTTTCACTTTCCCCTACAACCTCTCAGGGAGGACAGTATTCCAGTAGAGGTTGAAAGACTGCCTTAATAGTGCCAAGGTGTGTATCCTGATTAGCTGACCCACAGGGTCCCTTTTAACAATAAATCCTGTGCTTCTTCGAGGTTAGACATAAGGTGAGACCATGGGGTCCTGAGTGTCTGAGAGGAGGCAGAAAATCTTGGAAGGAGAAGCTGGAGCTCATAAGGTAAACTCCACGATTAACCTGGAGCTGATGCAGTTTAGGTTTTGACACTTCAGTTTTGATTTTTTTCTCTTTGAAAGAACATTGGGAAGAATTTTATGTTCTTATGATTTTGGCAGATTTGAAGGGGATCTTGTAGAAATGTTCAATTACTGATATTGCAGATGAGAAAAAAATTCCTCTTTCTGTCTTCTGATGTTTTGGTTCTTCCCTCACTCCATTTGCCCAATACAAACACATGTGCATGCACACACACACACAGAAACCCTTCACCACTCACTAGTTGTATTCACATTTTCATGCAGACCAGTTGGATATAGAACAGGCATCTAAGAACCCAAAAGGAGCATAGCCTGAGCAGAAAGCTGTAGTTCTACTTTACCCCATGGCCTCCTTTTCATATTTTGCTCCTCCAGAATACCATGCCCTTCACTGATTTCCTTCATAATCTGTTTGATCTTCCTTAAAAAATATATCATGCCAAAAAAAAAAAAATATATATATATGTATATATATATATATACATATATATATATATATCATGCCTTGGAAGCAGAAGGAGGGTTTGGGGGTTGCTGGAGGGACTATTAAGGGTATGTACACCAGGCTGTTATTATCTGATTACAGGCCACCAGGCTCTACTGTGTGTGGAATGTTAAGATACAGCAGCTCACTGTGGACCCTTTAACAAGCCACTGATAATCCTAGTCTTTGTAAAGCCCTGCTCAGGTGGAGCCACACGGATTCTAGCACTTTACATGGCTTTCCCTCTAATCAGGAGTCAGCCAGGCATCCTTACAGAGTTGCACTGAATTATCTTTCAATCTTGTGGCATGGCTGACTACACATTTCTAACACCTGGCCTGCTGGATACTGGCATTTCTGTTATTTTAGCATCTACAGTGTTTCAGAGTAGAAATACATGGAGATTGGGGGTCATGCCATTTGGGTTCAAATTCTGGCTCCATCACTTAGTAAATATGAGCCTTGGGCAAGGGAGTCTTGTGAGACTTTAGGTTCCTGCATGCATGTTCAATAGCTAAGTCGTGTCCAACTCGTTGCGGCCCCATGGACTGTAGCCTAGACTCCTCTGACCATGGGAATTTCCCAGGCAGGAATACTGGGGTATGTTGCCATTTCTTCTTCCAGGAGATCTTCCTGACCCAAGGATTAAACCTGTGTCTCCTATATTGGCAGGCGAATTCTTTACCACTGAGCCACCTGGGAAGCCATTTTGGTTAACCATTTGAGAAATGCAAATTTAAAAGTGAAATGAAACAAAACTGAGCCAAGTATAGTGGATTCTTTTTATTTGTGGTAGTTATGTTCTGTAAAGTCACAGCAAACTCTGAATTAGTGAATATTGAACTAGTACTCCTAGGGGAAATGCAGAGTTAGGTTCCAGTGAGCCTCTGGCCACAATAGTTTAATTAATGTATCAATACATAACCTTGTTTCATTTGTGTTTCTATTTCAAAACATTTAATATATATTGTTGATGCATTAACATTAAACTCATGGCAGTTGTACTGTAACTCATGCCAGAGTGCAGCCTATCTAACACATTTCTCTGCCTTCTTGCTGCGCAGCACTGCAGCAGTACACTTGGGAACTGTTTTAAACAGTTGAAATCACTAATACAGAGCCCAAAACATGAAAAAAGGTGACTCTAAATAGATAGCAGAAAGGGCACTGGTTTATGGTATGAGAGCTGAAACCAAAAGAACATCTTCTTGTTTCACCTCATCCGGAAATGTACATAAAAATGTCTGCTGCTCTGCAGGTCTGTGAGTGACTGAGAAAGTACTGCAAGTATTGTTTTGGGTGTTATACAAATAAATTTTAAAAAGGACAGTTTGCAAATATCAAATGTATGAATAATGGTGACTGACTGTACTTGAGATTTATCATGAGGATCTATTGTGATAACATCCAAAGGACCCCATCTAGCGTGCAAAGCCCTCCAAGTTCTATCTTCTGTCTGCTTTTCCAGTCCTTTCTGTGGATGCTGTCTGACACACCCCCAGTTTTTCAGTCATCCTTGCTGTTCTCTAGTCATGGAAGGCTGTTTCTTGCTTCTATGCCATTGCACACACAGTTTTCTGTCTAAAATGCCCTCTTTGTCTCCACAGAGGTAAACCATTATTCTACTCAAGGGAGGTTGACAGGTAGGAAATGTGGCCTTCACACATTCTGTATATTTGCCTCAGAATAAAAGCATTTGACTTTTTTACTTATATTTTTAAAGTCATATGTAAATCATGGGACAGACACATGAAAATTTCCTTTCATTAAGGGCCAGTTTCTTCTGATTCTCCTAATCATCTGCTGTCTCAGAACCTCAGTCCTGTGCATGTGCTCAGTATCAGGGGTTGGAAGGAAATTTCTGCTTCATTTTTCCTGGCTTTTATACTCAAGATTTGGGGAACTCTTACTCTCAGCCTGTGGTTTCCACCCTTTACCTGAGCTTTTTTCACTTGAGACCTTTTAGGATGGTACGGTTGGAACAGGCATAATCAAAATAGCATCAGAAGTCAAAGTCAATCCTTTATATGTCAGAATGATAGTCCAGCCCTCAGTCTTGGTCACTCCAGGTCAGAGCTGGACTTCCAAGAGTGTTTTGGAATCTGTATCACACTGAGTCCCATGAATCTGGATCCCAGGTAATTGCCTCTGAGCAGCTTGGCTAGATGTCCCTGCCAGCTGGGTTTGGGCTTCCATCTGTTCTGCCTACTCTTCGGACAGGCCTGCCCCATTCTTGCCTTGTTTCATGCCTGCCTGTATCTGTTCCTGGGGCTTGTTTTGTGTTTGTTTCATCTTCAGAATAGCCAGCTATTTTCCAGCTGCTCCTGGCTTCTCCCACCTGCACAGGCTTCCTTTCTGCCACCCTTCCTGCCAAGACTCTGACCATGCCATCTGACTGCAAGAAGAGGGGGCACCGGGTAGTGAAAGAACACTGGATTGAGAGTTAAACAGACCTGAGTTCTGGCCCTGTTCCCACCTCTCATTATCTCATATTGTGCAAGTCCTTTATTTTCCTTTGCCCCAGTTTCCCCATCTATAAAATGAAAGGATTGACCAGATTGCTGAGGGCTTTTCCAGCATTCACATTCTATGATGCTATGAGGTTTTTGGAAGAGAGATGGGTAGGATGAACCTGATTTGTCCACAGGTGGCAAAACTACCTTTGACTAGCTCCAGGGCTAATGAAAAATCTGCTCCATGACTGGTTGAAAAGGTCCACCCTCCTTTTCCACATTTCCTAGGCTTGATGGTGACGATACCAGTGAGAATGCTGTTGACAAAAATAAAAATTGGGCAAAAGCAATAACAATATGGAGAGTACATTATTTGGTTTTCAAAGTAACCTCACATTCATTTGTTGTCTTTTGAAAGAGAAAAGCCTCTCAGGGTGTCAGTAAAAGCCTTACTTATCACTTTTCTAATGCTGTTTGGTGGTTTAGAGGTTGGCTCAAAAGCAAACTCAAGCAGCCAAATTCTCGTGAATCAAAGCAAGAAAATGTTCACTAATTGGGAGCATTTATAATTTAAAATAAATGCAACATGTTGATAATGATGAGGATGGTGGTGGTGGTGATGATAATGATAATAGTATTCATCATATACAGAGCATACAATATCTAGCACGTACATTGTATGCTAGGTCCTGTGCTAAGTCTATATACATAGGAACTCATGTAATCCTCAGTCATATTGTATTATTTAAGGTTACACTAATATTGTATAAACAAAAAATCCAGATCTGCTTAGGGGACAACACTATGTGAATAATAACAGTATTTTACATTTACTGTCAGTTCATAAACCATTGCAAATAGATGATACCATTTCTGGTTTGACTTTTGCAACAACTCTAAGACATGGAGAGGGTAAATGTATCTTATGTTATGTATAAGCTTGTAAGCTGAGATTCGCAAAGGTAAAGTAACAGGTCAGCAAGCTCCTCAGAAAGAAATGATAAAATCACTTCAGGGGACTGCATTGGTGATTCAACAAGGACAATTCCATCATTGTGATTTGCACAACAGCAAAGAAAATAAAGTGTTCACTGTTATGTGGCAAAAGCAGTTGCTTAATTGCATGTCCTTTGGCTATGTTGAAACCTGATTTGAAAATATCTGAGACTCTGAAAAGTTCTTAAAATTCTTTTAAAAGAAAGCAGAAAAAGAAAGCAGTTCCAGGGACTTCCCTGGTGGACCAGTGGCTAAGACTCCATGCTCCCAACGCCAGGGGCCCAGGTTCAATCCCTAGTCAGGGAACTTGATCCCACCTGTCTTAAGTAAGAGTTCACATGCTGCAACTAAAGATCCCACATTCAGCAACTAAAGATTCCACATGCCACAACAAAGATGGAAGATCCTGTGTGTTGCAAGTAAGACCCAGTGCAGCCAAATAAAGAAAGAAATAAAAATATTTAAAAAGAAAGAAAGCAGTTCCCCATGTCTTCCATGACCATGGGCTTGTTGGTTGTTTTTGTTTGTTTGTTTGTTTTTTTCCCTTGTGGGACTCTGGCCCTGCCTGCCCAAATCCTTTGGGTCGGCAGAATGGGGTTTGTAGTATGATTGCAGATACTGCTGCTCTTTACCCCTTGGTGATTGCTGCTTTTTCTACTGAGTTTTTCTTTGAAATCATGACCTCGGAGTTTTTGGGCCTGCTTAATCTCTAGTCTGTCTTGCCTTGGCTACAGCCAACCCTTAACCTAGGTGCTGTGCAGAGTTGGGTGATGGGCAGTGGAATGAAGTTGAGGCTGGGGCTCTTCTTCTCACCACACTGCTTTCATTCCCCCGGAGGTCAGCCAGAGGGCTCAGGCAAGAATAAAGGATGATCTCACTGTGCTTGCTTCCAGTTTCTACATTCAGGAACTTTATGAACTCATTCTTTTCATCTTTCTTCACATTTCTGCTTTGTCTCAGCTTGCTACCATGTGCTTTTCTGAGTGACTTTCTTATTATTTCATCTTCTAGGTCATTCAAAATGATGTT